AAAAGTAACATGGACGACTAGCATGGTTGACAACGTCATTTGTCGGTTAAGGACGTTAGAGGTGTGGTCTGTGCGTTATCTCACTCCAGCCGGGACGTTCAAATGTGCACTCACACTTATCGCAGTGGCTTAAATTAATAGAGAAGATTTTGTCACTGCGATCTTCGGTCCCGGTTCCGTAGGGGAATAAAAGAAAGGAGACGCCAGGTGGAAGGAATAGTGTATTCTGTATAGAGGTAGATGAGAATAAGTTGGAGAAAGTTTACAGTCGGATTAGTGCACAACCACGCGCGAGAGGGCCGTGTCCGAAATGTGAGAGCGCGGCAGTCGTCACAGTGAGAACCTATGTGAGTCTGTCTTGAAGGTGATTGGTCAAACTGAATTGGGGTAGGCAAACACTGGTGCGCACGTGCTACCAGTGGCCAGATGCGAAGGGTTGAGCATTGCACGCGGACTAGGGTCACTACAAACGTGCCCTTTAATAAATCGAACTGTTCTCCTTGTTTGTTTATTTGGGAACCTCCGTATTGTCTAATATTCGCGGCAGGGTTCCACTCCAACAGACTCCAACTGATTGGGGAAGGAATATTGCACCGCACTGCCAGACTTGAATCGCACGCTTTGGTCTACAGATAATGAGGGCGTAAGGGATGATAACTTCAGGTATTTCCTATTGGTGTCGCATAACTGTAGTCTGTGGCGATCGGTCTTGAGTTCAAATACTGCAGTCTTGTCCTACAGTCATAATGAGGATCGAGAGGGTCCTTCTGACGTCCTTGCTTCTCGTCCTCTATCCAAGGATAGGCCGGGAAGACGTGAAAATTAGTCGCGGGTTCTGTTAGTCCTTATGATTATTGCTCTACGAAGTGGTTGATACCGCTGTTCTACCGGTAAAACTTCTTTGTTGTTGACTATTCTTCGCATGTGAGGACTACAAGACAGAGCTGAATGCCCGTACCTAGACATGTAAGAAGACCGCATCGATGAAGGCCACTTCTAAATGACCTTGAATATTCCCGATGGCAGCTTGCAGTCTGAGATTGGTTGATAAGATATTGAGATTATTCGTTTTAACTGGGGGGTTCTCTCAGCCTGCGATTGCGGTAAATGAATAGATGAGCCTTGCCGACAAAGGCAAGGGCGAGCAGAATGCCCATTTCTGGCTTATCGGCCGTCATCAAACAACCATATCCAACTCTAGGTGGTGCATCACCTGGAGCTCGAAGCCTAGTGATTAGAAGTGTAACGCTACTCATCTACTTATAATACTAGCGGGTTGCTGGCGGGGCTTAAGAGTGAGGCCTAAGTCAGAAGGGGATGAGTGCGTCCCGTAACTGATCTGTGAGCGTTCATCAACCAATTTAAATATTCCCGGTCTAAATCGGCAAGACGGCGAGTCTGTTGCGCAATGGGTTAGAGCGCGGGCTCGGGGGTGGCAACCCCCTGGACTTGGGTATGGCTGGCCGATGGCGGTCAATGAGCCAGAAATGACCATTCCAGTCTCCCCTGTCTTTGTCAGTGATTTTAATCCACCTATACACTATTCACTCTCGCATTCATCCTCTCCCAAAGACGCAGAAGAAGAAGAAGAAGAGGGAGAGAAAGAAGAGGGGGCCATTTCGTGGACCAAAGTATATTTGAACTGACGTTTCGGAACCCTTGTCGCTTCCATCATCAGGGTATTGTAGTTGCTGTGTCTGGTCCTCTTAAGTAAGCCTGTCTTGCCGTCTGCCTCGTCTTATACCCGTGTTGGACGCGCGCACTTTGACCTTCCCCTTCGCTACTGACTTCTATTAGTCTCCCGGAGATTGGCTGCTGGAAGTCTTGTGTGACCTTTGTCCCCTCTGCGGTCAGCATAGTTGTAGGCGCGTCAATATGCTTGCTGGCCTCTCCCATGTCAACCATCGGACTGATCACTCGTTGCTGCTCACTTGAGTCGTTCTTCGCTTCGCGGTTGCAACGATGGGACAGTGTTTGATGTTGGCCG